AAACAGATGTTCCTGGATGCTTGTGGAGAAAATAGTCCTCGTGGAAGTAGAGCGATGTAGCCAAGAGTCCGTGGACAAAAGTCCCAAATTCAGTTGTCTACAAGGGTAGTGGAAGTCACTGGAAAGACCAAGCTAGTTTGGCCGGTGGGAACACTGGTTGAGAAGACTTGACTGTTTCCAATCGGACAGTCTACTCTGATGACTGACTCGGGCGAAGCCAAGATGGTGGTACTCCAAAATCAAACACTTAGCTAAATAAAGTCACCAGAAAAGTTAGGGTTAGTGAACCTAAACCTAACTGCAGCGCTAGGACTAAAGTAACCCTAATCTCCTATACTTCAACACTGGGACACTCTAGCTAAGCCTAAATTTAGGGCTAAAAACGAAACACACTAGAAAATACCTCTGGAGCACGGAAAAACACGTCCTCTCTCCACCAAGTCTGAAGACACTTCACACAGTGTTGCCACGCCGATTTGTTTGCCATCGGTAGATTCCTTAGGCAATTTTCGGTAGTTTTCGGTAAATCGACTTTTTGTGGCAGAAAGGAGGTTGCACATAAACAATAACATTCTTTTTCGTCATTTATTTTATTATAAACTATAAAACAATAAAAAACAAAAAAACTGGCACAGAACACTTACGTAAAAAAATAATAATTTACTAATTAAATTAAGTAGGTACATTTTTTTCTTATTTTTCTAACAAAATATTACCTTTTATTTTTCGGATATTAATAATAATTATTATTATTCAATATCTTCCGTTTGTATGTTTTTTTAACACTCTGTTTGTTATTTTTGAAATTATCTTTTACAGGAAAATCGTAACAGTAATTTTTTCCAATTACAGTAGAACCTCCATTATCCGGATTGTTCAAAATAAACAAAAATTTTACGAATTTGCTGATTTGCACTTGGCGAATTACGACACTGTTTATGTACGTGATGGAATGCATAACTTTTTTGTTTCAACAACGTCTGACCCAGCACAGTGGTCGTAAACTCTTAAATATATTTTACGTATTAATAAAAATATAACTTGACATACGCATTTATAAATAATTTATATTCAAATTACATCATTTCTATGACCAAGGGCGGCGTAAGGCATGGACGACGTGGGCCACCGCCTATGCCTCGCGCCTCGAAGGTTTATGCATTACTTAAAAGCCGTGAACGCGACGAAAAAATTTTACTCGTCATAAAACGATAAATAGTTTGTCAAATTTTTATTCATAAAAATGCAGTTTCAACTGCTTTTTATTTTATAAAATCCGTCTTCTTGCGCCACCAGAGGGCCTTTTAAACAATAGGTAGTCTGTTAGCGCTGGTCAGTACTAGTCCAAATTCAATACGAACGTTTGTTTCTTGAAAATTTGATCACGATTTAAATACTGTATTTACTTTTAATATTACCGATATGTCATCGAAAAGGAAACGTGTTGTATTATCATTAAAAGACAAATTAAAGTATTTGTTTCGATTATCCGGATTTTTCCTTATCTGGACTACCTTCATCCCCAATTAGTCCGGATAATCGAGGTTCTGCTGTAATTGTTTAGTAAGAAGTAAGCCAGTGATTGTTTCAGAGCTCAGTTTATTTCTTTGTTTCGTGCTTAACAGATTTATTTACGAAAATATTCTTTCTACATTAGCTGAAGAATGGGGCAGACACAAGATGTTCTCAACAAAACGAGACAGAGTCTTTGCAATAAAGTCTCTTACGATATATAAGAAATGAAAGTACAAAGAAATATTTTATTGAGAATTTTTAGATACATTGAAAATAAAAATTTCTTTCTTGAATTATCGTAAACTTTTCGGTAGATTTGCTGCTTCAATTGGTAGATCGGTCCCAAAATCGGTAATCTACCGAAAATTCGGTAGACGTGGCAACATTGCTGTCACATGCTCTATACTTTCAGAAAATAGTTTTTATTAATTTAAAGCCCACTAGTGGCCAAGTGACTAAATCCATCGCACACTTGTAGTTAGTCGTGGGGTCGCGCCTGGAAAATAAAGGCTTGTGGTATCGCTTTTTAAAGCTAGTCTATTAAGGATTCGACCAGGCCCACAATGGGGCGTAGGGTGGTGAAAGATGGAGCACGACATATTGGGAAAATTCCTGGGATTTGGTGAAGGGAAAGCTTAGGGACAGGAAGCCCCGATATACGAACTTCCGATGCAAACTGTAAGTCACGTTATTTCAATTCAAGACCTTCCCCTGAAAGCAGTTAATAGATGACTTGCACGACTCTGTTATTAAAGGAAAAGTATGATGTACAGGGGCAAGCCACTGCTAATTTGAGGTGTGGAGCGTATATTTTAAATTAAATAAATTAAAAATGTGATTAAAAATTGCAGCCCGAATATAATTGCTCGTTGTATTTAAGTTTTTTTTTTCTTGAAAATAATTAAATTTAAATCGATTTTTCATAACTAACTAATAAAAGTGGAATTCTTTTGACTATTAAGATGTAGTGTGTTTCTTTATGTACTGTACTCGAATGTTTTTCCAAGGTAAATTCATTATATTCATTTTTTCATTCTCATCATCAATTTTAGTACGACTTTTTATAGAAAGATTTTACATAAAAAATATTCGAATACTCAGTGGTATCTTTCTTATAAAAGGAATCGTAGTGTGACATTTAAAAAAAAAAGGGTACGGTCGGAATCGCACCACACTGGTGCAAATACCAACGAGAGGAGTTAATTCCTCCTTTATTACTAGAAATGCCCCTCAGGCACACTTGATGCTCCTAGTCTACGCAAACATTCGCGAGTGTATGGTTTTATTAAATCATTCGTTATTCCATATTCGGCAACATCAAAGTTATAGGATAGTATGGACCATCGCTACTTAGGGTTGTCAATGGATGGTTCTCTGACAAGGAATGGTATATAAAGAGCGCGTGACGTATATGGTACTCAACTTAGTAGATTTTCTACTAAATCTGGTAGATTTGTTTGTTCTTCTCTCTTCTTTGCAGCCCACGGAATAATTTAAGTTGGCCCAGCCTTCTTTTTAAAGTTTATTTAACTCCTGTGGAATAATTATAAGTTATTTAAATATTATTGAATTTTAATAATATTTTCTATGTCAAAGTGTAAGAAAAGCACTAATCTAGACATTCGTGATATATTTCTCTTTAATTGTTACGCAATGGTTGTATTATATCACTCAATCAAATATGTGTCATTTTTCTTGACGTAATCGATTACGTCAATTCCGATATATCTGAAACAACACTTTTGTTTCTTTTGCATCAAAAATAAGAAAAAAGCTTTATTACATTATTTATGACATAATAAAATACTGAATTGGAATACATAAGATATTTCATTGCATCATTGTAGTTAACCACGTATATAAATAACGGTCAGCACTGTTATATCCAATATCAGATTGTACAGTACATAAAATATATGTTATTTTAAAAATACAATATATAAAAACTTAGTATATTAGCATATAAATTAAATATTAATAATAAATTTATGGATTAGATTATACTCACAAACTTAAGTTTATATTTAGAATAAGAGTTTTAGAATAAGAGAAGGGGAAAATTTGAACTTCCAAGAGGCTACATATATATTAAATCCATGTCTTTACTGAATTTGTGGTCCAGATATTATTTAATTGGGAGATCCACGATACACTCAAGCATAGAAATCTTGCCTCACTCTATATAAAAACAAGAGAGAAGGGAAATATTCATGAACTTCATTATATTATATTATACAAAATGCAATTTAAAAATTTTTAAACATTTATATTTAATTTCAAAGTAATGAATGAGTTACTTCTATCANTTAAAACAAAAATTTTAATTTAATTTTGTTTTCTTCAACTAATTAAGGTTGCATCCTACTGCTCTGGAGGACTCGGAATCGAATACGGACGGGTCTAAAAATCCCAGTAATTTTCAGAGGTGGTCCTCATAATAGGTTTGTAACAGTGTCCCTGTAGGCACTATTACAAGCCCTCATTACATAGTCCATTATATCATCACCCGGCCGTCCCATTGTAAGCCTGGCCTAACTCATAATAGCCCAGCATAGTGCCCACATAGCAGGAGTTAAAAAATAAACTTCCTAAAATGGATTTTCCATTTGAGCCTGAAATTTTATTAAATTAAATGAGATTACTGTAATTATTTTTTACCTTCATATTATACTCATTTCAAATGTGGAGTTTGCCGTGATTTTATCGCAATATGTAGAGGGTTGGATTTTGAATATTTAGCATTATTTTGTTTAATACTCGTATACAGAATAAAAAAAATAAATTACCGCGCAACACCTAAGATCCGGAATACTTCCGGTAATACTCAACTGTACACGAATCAGCAACGTTACCAGAAGAATAGAAAATATTCCGTTTCTTATCAAAAATTTCTCTCATATTTTCAGTTAAATTTGTCGAATTTATATTTAGATTAATAATAATAGAAAAACTGAAAATTGTGTAAAAAGAATTCTTAATTGTAACGTTTTCTGTTTTATTAAAAACCCATAAAAGATTGGATTGGATTGGATTGGTGGAATGGGCGTTCTGCCGAGTAAGTGTCTCCTCAGAGGATTTACTATGGAGAAAATGGTTCCTATTTACATGTTAGACACGTGAAGAAAACCCGGAAAACTTCAAAGGGCCAGTCCGTTGATGGGGCACGAACCCGCGACCGAGTAAATCTTTACTCTAAATTGAATATCCAGAAACATGTTGTTTCTTTCATACGATTAAAATAGATGCATTTATTGAAATTATTAATGGAGATGGTAATTATTGATGGAGATGGTAATCTCCAAATTATTGATGGATATGGTAATCTCCATCAATAATTTCAATAAATTCTCTAAATTTGAACACACTATAACCATGTGTACTCTAAATGGACCCGGTACCAAAACTGGACGGGCCGAAAACCCCCAGGAATTTTCCCAATATGTCGTGCCCCGTCTTTCACCATACGGCCCATTGTGGGCCTGGTCGAATCCTTAATAGACTAGTTTAGAAAAAGGCCATCTTCGTGCTCACACGGCGGAAACAGTTTCAAAAAAATGCCACTTCTACTTCCACCAAAAATTCCACTTCCCAGCATCTCAGGCTTAGTAAAGGGCGAGTCATAATGTAATCAATCGATAACAAAACGACTGGAACAAAAAACATTTAATATCAAATATATTTGAAATATAAAAGGGGAAACAAAACAAAAATATAACAACGTGTACACTTTATTGCACTTTTAATACTATTTACATAGGCATACCAGTCTAACGTTATCCTATGGACAAAAAGGAAAATTGACTGAGGTCCACACCAATCTTTTATAAGAAAATAGTTCCCCCGAAGAAAAACGTCTGAAGTTAACACTGTACATAGGACCTCCGATACGTCAAAGGGCCCCACGAAGCAATAATGCGCCACTGCTATATACCATATTTGAACTAATTTTTTCCTTTCTTCGTATGTAAAGTATATACTACTATACAAAATGAGTTTTTCTACTCTTCGGTTGAAAGATTTTCTTAAAGTTTTGGAGAAAACTCGCTGAGTACCCGTGTGAATTTAGACAGCTCCAGACTTCGGTAAAATTCTTTCGACTCCGACTCTGATCTCGAAGTTTACTATTGGTAAAATGTGTAGTACAAAAATATTGTTTAATTTATTAGTATCTAAAGAAATTTCTTAGAAAAAGGAGTCTTCGATAAATCTACATATCAAAATGATATTAATCCATAAAGATCGTTTCATAGCAAAACTTTGTGTGTTAATATCATTTTGATATGTAGATTTATCGAAGACTCCTTTACATACACATGGTACATTCCGGGTTGCGCAGTACGCACTACCCGGTGGTAACAAGTACAATGTTAGAAATACAAACAGTTAAACTGGTAACACAAATAACGAACAGAAATAAGTAAATATGATAAAAGTAAGCTACACAGTCAGAGAAGAAACACAGAACAGTCGTTGCACTGGAATGCATGCCCGTACATAAATAGTTCATTAAATACATGGTTACAAAACACATACAATTAAGGATGTACAAGATGTAGGAGATGTAGAGCTCAAAATACAGTGAGTACAGTGTAAAGATAACATCAATTGTAGGATGAATAACAATACAGCGGTACAGTAAAATGTATACAGGGAAAAATAAAGTTGATAAACATTAAAATAGGAAAATACGAGACGGAACACGAACCACTGTTAGGAGACGTAGTCGGTGCGCTCAATAGCCTGGGCCTTAGCCCTTAAATAGGTCTGGCAGCGTCTGTCCATGGTGTTATGATCATGTTCTTTATTATTTTCTCTGACACAGTTTGCACACCTTGGTCTCTTGTGTTTGTTGGTGCAGTCCTTAAACAGGTGATCCTCGCCACAGTGACTGCAAACCATTGTTTGCAACATACAATCACGAGCACGATGCCCAAATCTTAAGCACCTAAAACATTGATTTGTCGGCACAAAGTCGTAAATTGGGCATCTAGTCCATTCTACACAAATTTTCCCCTTTTTGAGCAACATTTCCCTTATTTCTGGAGAAACCTGGATAACCCATGTTATGTAATTAGGATCTCTTTGTTTAATTGGAAATTTAACTTGGACGTCGCTCTCAAACATTTCGTAACTTTCATAGCTGCTTGAAGTGTGGAAATGAAGATTTTGCTCATAAATAGACTTTGTAAGAGTTTCCCTTGGAACAGAAATAGGGACAAAAGCTAATTTTAATAAAGGTCGTTGTTTCTTGGCAATTCTTGCGCTCAAACCCGGAATGTCATTCACCTTTTCTTGAAGGAATTCCACGTCACTAACGTCCACTAAGTCAACAGCCACACCTCCATTATTAATTTTCCTAAGCCTCTTGACCCCTAACCCAACCTCCCTTGGATTTATGTTGTTAGTAAGCAAAGCCCGCGTTTTTTCCGAGCTGTTTTCTTTGTTGTCACTAAATACGAGAACAGTGTGTATTGGCATTGGGGGTTCAAGAGTGGGTTGAGGTGGCCTGATATCCCTCTTTAGAGCATCGCTATAGCTAATAGTGGGAGATCCATTCTCACCCAAGGGACTATGATGTTGCACCTTGCACAGTTTATCAATCTCCTCTTTCACTTCCCTGATGGCTAAAGTAAATTTCTCGTTTTGCATGGTGGTCGTCTCTATTAGGTCTTCTTTGGTGGCAAGGTTGGCCAATCTTTGTTCAAGAATTTCAGTAGTACAGCTAGCTTTTAATAAGCTGACGGCCATATTGATAATCATGGTAAAATGCTCTGAAATATAACGTACACTCTCTCTAGCCCCCAACTTGCTAGCGTAATTATTTGCACAGTATCCCTTTAGTTCATCAAGAACTCTGTGCGAGTCGCTAACAAATTCCTCAACCGAGCTAGTGGACATCGTGACGAGAGACAAAGTGAAGTGTGTATAGGGTGGCCCAAATGCCAGAGGAAACTCTGCACTATAAACCTACTGGTCAATAGAGCAGAGAGAAACAGATAAAATATAAAATAAAGCAAGAAACCTAAGTAACTGCACGACGCACTAGTCAGAGAAAATTTTTGCCTGACGCACTCACTACTCTATGACAACTGTCCGGGTAATCTATGCAGAAAAATGACAGTACAGGAGTATTTACAAGTAAACTTGTCAGAAAATGGGTGGGGAGAATCCAAACAGATGTTCCTGGATGCTTGTGGAGAAAATAGTCCTCGTGGAAGTAGAGCGATGTAGCCAAGAGTCCGTGGACAAAAGTCCCAAATTCAGTTGTCTACAAGGGTAGTGGAAGTCACTGGAAAGACCAAGCTAGTTTGGCCGGTGGGAACACTGGTTGAGAAGACTTGACTGTTTCCAATCGGACAGTCTACTCTGATGACTGACTCGGGCGAAGCCAAGATGGTGGTACTCCAAAATCAAACACTTAGCTAAATAAAGTCACCAGAAAAGTTAGGGTTAGTGAACCTAAACCTAACTGCAGCGCTAGGACTAAAGTAACCCTAATCTCCTATACTTCAACACTGGGACACTCTAGCTAAGCCTAAATTTAGGGCTAAAAACGAAACACACTAGAAAATACCTCTGGAGCACGGAAAAACACGTCCTCTCTCCACCAAGTCTGAAGACACTTCACACAGTGTTGCCACGCCGATTTGTTTGCCATCGGTAGATTCCTTAGGCAATTTTCGGTAGTTTTCGGTAAATCGACTTTTTGTGGCAGAAAGGAGGTTGCACATAAACAATAACATTCTTTTTCGTCATTTATTTTATTATAAACTATAAAACAATAAAAAACAAAAAAACTGGCACAGAACACTTACGTAAAAAAATAATAATTTACTAATTAAATTAAGTAGGTACATTTTTTTCTTATTTTTCTAACAAAATATTACCTTTTATTTTTCGGATATTAATAATAATTATTATTATTCAATATCTTCCGTTTGTATGTTTTTTTAACACTCTGTTTGTTATTTTTGAAATTATCTTTTACAGGAAAATCGTAACAGTAATTTTTTCCAATTACAGTAGAACCTCCATTATCCGGATTGTTCAAAATAAACAAAAATTTTACGAATTTGCTGATTTGCACTTGGCGAATTACGACACTGTTTATGTACGTGATGGAATGCATAACTTTTTTGTTTCAACAACGTCTGACCCAGCACAGTGGTCGTAAACTCTTAAATATATTTTACGTATTAATAAAAATATAACTTGACATACGCATTTATAAATAATTTATATTCAAATTACATCATTTCTATGACCAAGGGCGGCGTAAGGCATGGACGACGTGGGCCACCGCCTATGCCTCGCGCCTCGAAGGTTTATGCATTACTTAAAAGCCGTGAACGCGACGAAAAANAAAGGTCAAAGAGATGATAAGATACAGAGGGGTCATATATCGTATCTCAAATGGGGTCTTACTTTACTCGTTATTAGCATACAATCTTGGCATTTAAGATGAAACTACTGCATATTTTAACCAGTTTTTTAAATATATTTATCAGCAAATATGTGTTTTTAATTTTAATTTATACATTTAAATAATTTATTATTAATAGAATATTAAAATTATTTGAATGCGTATTTTTTATATCTGTTAAATGAAAGAATACAATTTGTTTCGTTGTATGAAGGAACTATTACGTGTTAAATGAAAACACGTGTACTCGCCCTTCCTTCATTTCCTACTTAATAGGAAACTCATTTATAAATCGAGGTTAAGGACGAGAAAATTTGTTTTCCGGGGTGAAACTCTAATCGGAAATTGTTATTGCTTTGTTCTGTAGTCGATATAAAAGTTTCTAATATTATCCCTATACGTTAATATACATTTGCTAGAATATACGTTAATTGAAGTTGATTACAGGATGCAGTTTACATTTAAAATATCGTGATAAGTACTATTTTTCATGAAAAAAGCACCTTTTTTCCGTATAAAATACTTCTTGTTTTACTTTTCCTTGGTTTGGTTTGTTGGATATAATATGTCAAAACAACATATGAGCGATCTAACCAAGATCTGCAGGAGTTTATACAGGTAAATTGGCACCTGGAAAAACAATTATCCTTAATTAAAGCCCGAAAAGTCCTTTCTTAATATAAAAAGACCTTTCTTAACCAATTTTTCTCCCTATAATACAGATTTTTCTCTTCTTTATCTTACAGGAAAGGGATAAAATCAAACAAGACTTATTCATCCTGTTGTAGCTTACTTGTAAAATTTATATAATAAATTATATTAATCCTTTTATTGATAATTGCCAAGTAAAGTTTATCAAATGTAACCAATCCTTGATTAATTTTATATGTCTTAATTATTACTTGAGTTATTAATGAAGTCGAGAAGACCGTGATGAATAATAATTGATTAAAAATATCCTTAATTAGTAGAATTCGATTCGATGTTAAAGTCTTATAAATTTAATTAATGACTAATTGATTAATAAGTAATTATAATATTTGCAAATATAACTTCTTTAAAGTTTTCACCTGTTAATAATGCATTTCTTCTCTAATACAACGGTCGATCTAAATTAAAATAGTTTTTACATGGATAAGATGGAGTAAATATTGGATAATATGGCATAAGTGAGTAGACATAATGGCGAGTATACGTGGATAATATGGAATATATTACTAAGATAGACTTTATATGTGTTTCTCCATCAAAAATACATCAATAATAGACGAAAGTTTCTGCTAAACTTTGATTTTATTTCAAAGAAAACACCACTGTGTTACAATTGCTAACAGGAAAGGTACACTTGCAGGCTTTTTGTAAATACAAAATAGTAATTAATTAATCTTGTACCTCAATAATTACTACAATTCTCCGAGGAATGGATTCAATTAGTTTTTGGAATCAATCATTTCGTAAAACTGTACTTTAATAATAGTTACCTGCAGCGTGTGGATTGCTTAACTCAATTGTAAAATCGACAACTACATTTTGCTATCTTTTTAATGCCAAATACAAATTACTTAATTGATTATTCTTCCCATAATGGCATACACAATACCTATAATTGTATTATTTTATAAGAATAAATTAAACTTATTTTAAAATTTCGAAGAAGAATAAAGTAAATTTTAAAAAAAAATTTACACCAAAACTAAGATAAATTGTTATCTTTCCCAAATTTGAGATCTTCTCTGCTTGATAAACGAAGATCTGTCATATACTAAAAGCTGCTACTAAAATCTAAATCGTTCAATCTATATTTCAATATAATAAAATTCTTTCGTGTGAAATATATAAAATATATGCTACTTATCCTGTCTTTTATGTATAAATCTATATATATAAATGTACAGGGTTTCCCATAAGTCTTGAACCATACGATGATCTTAGTTTATCCTTCTAAGGTAAAGGACTTCACATATCTATGTGATCCCACCATCAATATAACATGAATTTATTTGTCCTTCCTCAGAACCACGCTTTTTGTGTAAAAATATGAACAAAAATCAACATAACTTCTATTGCTCTGGATATATGGGACACTCTATACATCTATTTTGTGGCAAATGTCATTAAAAAATCTGACATAAGAGTTGGATTTCTTTATATTAAGGTTACCAAGGACACTAGAATGTAAACAGTTCTAAGATGATAGATGAAAAGTAAAGAGGACATTAGTAAATTTCGTATTTCCAATCGTGTTTTACATTATTTTCATACAAGAAATAAATAAACGTAATATAATGAGACATTCTCCAAATTTCAAATTAGAAAAAATAGATTTTTTACATGGAAATTGTAATGGAATTTATCTTTAGTATACATTTTAATTAATTTAATTATATGAGGATAAGGAATTCAATTATACTCAAGTAGGAATTCATGAATAATTATTATACGAAATGATCACAAAGTCTGTATTCATGAGAATCTATCCTAAGGGTATTCTAGTTAGGAAATGGCTTGACATATTGGACGTGGTTTCGATACGATATGGTTTCTGGAGTCCAAATTTAACAAGTTATGACAATTTGCTTTAGGGCATTGTGAAAGGAAAGTTTTTCAATTCTGTCTTACGATAGTTGAAGAAGTAGAAAAAAAACAATCAAGGATTTCTTAATATATAGGCAAGGAAGATGCTCGTAAGAACGTGGAAAAAGTCATAATTTGTGTAAAGAATAAAGGGAATTTCAGATAGATAACTTCTAAACATCATGGTAGTTGCTTTGTGGACATTGTGTTGAAATGTGGATTGTTAGATGCAATAATATTTAAATGTAAGAGAGTAAGCATTCAACATCGCCAAAATCGATATTCTAGTGTGAAAATATCAATAATCCTTATTTAATATTTGAAAATTAAATTGAAACCTATTTCAAGATTATTTGGATAAGTAAAGGCTTATTAAATCATATATTTAAATACTAAATTGATTGACAAATTCCTAATTTAAACAATAATCATTTGATAAGTAATTAAATATTGTATTCAGAAGAGATTCTTTAATTTAATTTCAAAAAAAAGTTAATTGGATTATAGACGGACCTCTGCATGATATGTTAGAAAAAGTGTTATAAAGGCGTTACAATAGTTAACGTTCATTGGTTGAAGATGTAAATAGCTTAACGTTGATTGGTCGGAGAAGAAAAACTGGGAAATTTGAATTTTTAAATTAATAATAAAGTATAATAAAACTACAGTACCAGTATATCTTTATCACTGCAGCTTACAGAATACTTGTACAGTACATTCTATACTTACTTACTTATTACTATAATATGACAGCTTTTATAAATTTATATATTTTATTTTGTGGTTGCCAAACTCTTAGTTTAATCTAAAAGTTTAATTTGATAAGTCTGGAATCTACAGATTGACATATTTATGTTTATGATTGCCTTGGATCTCTCAGTTATAAAATATCTAAGTAAATTCAGAAAATGATGAATTAAATATAAATCTAATATGTACTGTATATCCTAACTTATATCTTGATATAGCATAAGTTAACTTGATGTGGAACATTATGAAAATTTGTGAATTTCATCTGACAACAGCTGAAAAAAACCTAAAAACAAGTAAATATCTTCCATTCATTAACATGAAAGCTACTCAGTAGAACATAAAGAAAATTAAAATTCTTGCAGCAAATGATGGATCATATTGATAGTTTTTAACTACTGGTTAGAAACTTTGTAAATACACAAGTTTCTATGTGATCTGAAATTGTTAATGTTGTCTTGTATAGAATTATATAACGGCCTAGCCACAATACAAACCCAGCCATTAATATCTGAATTCATTCATAAAACCACTGTATCATCAGCACCACAGGACATCAATGCTAATGTTGTTCAGGAGTTCACGGAAAGAACTTCACCTATGGATGATGAACACGATAACCAAAGCATTTTTAGTGATAACAATGATATTTCAATCATGTGCAAGTGTATGCATTTATTGTCAGAAAGTGACAACAAATAAAATCTTATGTATAATTCACATTACATATTCTGCCCAATTTTTATGTTCATTAATTCTTTACAAGTGAAATTTATGTTCCTATAATTCATTTTTATTTATGTGCAATGTATATGAAATAAAATTTGATAACATGCAAAAAAAATAAGATTTTTCATATGGTTTATTTCATTATTTTTGTTGATTTCTTAGGTCCGTAAGCAATCTTCTAATTTTCCATACATACAATGTATTTTTTTACATGATTTTTTTTTATATGTAATTTCTGAGAACCAATCTATCATGTAAAAACAGAATTAAGTGTACTCAGTACTT